AAAAAAAAAAAATAAAAAAAGCCATGTGTAGTGGCTTATGCCTGTAATCCTAGCATTCTGGGAGGCAGAGCTGGGTGGATTGCCTGAGCTTATGGGTTCAAGAGCAGCCTGAGCAAGAGCGAGACTTCATCTCTACAAATAGCTGGGCATTGGGGCAGGTGCCTATAGTCTCAGCTACTCGGGAGGCTGAGGCAAGGGAATCACTTGAGCCCAAGAGTTTGAAGTTGGTGTGAGGTATGACACCATAGCACTCTACCAAGGGCAACAAAGTGAAACTCGGTCTCAAAAAAACCCCATAAAAAATAAAATAAAATAAAAATAAAAAGGAGAGAATGAACAGGAGAGGATCCTAGGAGTATGGTCTTCTCTGGCTGAGGCTGAGCAGGGATGGATCAAAGACATCACTTGTAAACATGATGTTCAGTATATATATGGAAAACAATTTCTATCTATGATCATAAGGAATTCTCACCTCACACTGACTTCCCTTCTTTTCAACATTAAGAGATGCCATTCTTCAAAATTATGCGTGAGAAAATTTTGGCAGATATAATCATTTTCCTTTCATAACATCAGAGAATTTTTGTTTATATATATTGTTTAATGCTAAGAACACAGATATTCCAAAGTGATAAACAATTAATAAACAGTTTTGTTTTTCTAAACAGGATTACAATAATAAAATCAATGGTGATTCAAACCTCTAAAACGGAAGAGCACACAAATTATGCACAATATATTTCCTCTTACCTGAATTGACCTTAAAATACCTGAACATTCCCTTTAAGAGACATCAGTAGAATCATATGTCACTCAACAACAGGGATAAGCTCTGAGAAATGCATCTTTAGCTAATTTCATTGTATAAACTTCACGAAGAGTACTTACACAAACCCAGATGGTATAACTTCCTACACACTCAGCATACATGACATAGCCTCTTTGATCCTAGCCTACCAACCTGTGCTGTGCAACTTTAACACAATGGTAAGTATTTATGTACGTAAAGATAGAAAAGGTATTGTAAAAATATGGTATTATAATCTTATGGGACTGCCATCGTATATGTGGTCCACCACATTATTATGTAGAGCATGACTGCATTAAAATTGTGCAAAAAACCTGTACCCATGGTGTTTAAAACATAAAACCAATACCTGACTTACACAAGACAAAAATTAAACAAAAGACTGTAAAATAATGTATAGAATTCAAAGGCAAGTCAGGGGAATAAAGGTAATTAGGGATACCTGATTTTTTGTTTGTTTGTTTTGGGGAGGAACAGAGTCTCAAGCTGCCACCCTTGGTAGAGTGCTATGGCATAACAGCTCACAGCAACCTCAAACTCTTGGGCCTAAGCGATTCTCTTGCCTCAGCCTTCCAAGTAGCTGGGACTACAGGTGTCTGCCATAATGCCCGGCTATTTTTTGTTGTTGTTGCAGTTGTCATTGTTGTTTTAGCTGGCCTGGGCTGGGTTTGAACCCACCAACCTCCGTGTATGTGGTGGTGCCCTACCCACTGAGCTACTGGTGCCACCATACATGATGTTTTTTAAAGAAGGAAGCTTTGATGATGTCAAGCCTGGATAAGGCCAGGAGTCTGAACCCTGAGCAGTTACTAAAAAGGATAAAATGTTATCTCTCTAATAGCAAGCAAATTAACTGGCCCTGTGTTAAAATTTCCAGAATGAAAACCAAGGTAGTTTACAGTAAAAAATGTTCTCCTTAAAAGCATGGCCAATATGTGGTTGAGCCAGGACTTGGACCAAACCATGGTTTTGGAGCCCACTCACCTGGTGGGGACTGTGGCTTTGAGTCCCAGCACACCCCATGGTGGTGCTGACTTGTGTTCCCACCTCATTCACATGCACTTCAGGCATCTTCCCTCCTGACTGCTTGTGTGGCCACATCAGCAGCCTTTCTGCCCTCCAGTTCATCCTTGTGGCTGTTGGAGTGGTCTTCCTCACTCATAGTGGAGGACCCCGAGTCACGGTGCATGGTCTCTGCCTCTCCCTCGGTGAGCACCTGAGTCCAGGTCTCTCTTCCTGGGCGTACTTGAGAGGCTGGACCACTGCATCCGCAGCAGGTTATCCAGCGTGAGCTCCTTGGACTGTGAACATGGTCAAACTTATTTCTGATCTAGAAGTTAGACAGGAGTTGGGGCTGATAGGCACAGAGGATTCAGAACTCTAGGTCACAGTGTTCCACCACTTGGCCAGATAGAATTAGCAAGTTACTGTTATTTAATTTGCCATCCATCCACGTGAAACTGTTAGGAGCCAGTTGCTACATGAATACCATCAACCAACGAGAACTTGTTGTGAACCTTCCCAACAATTTTCGTTCCTCACTTCGCCAGTAGCTATTTCCTTTTCTTGTTCCGGATGAACTTTCAGATCCATGCACATACCAAAAATTGAAAGAGTAGAGCCTGGTTCAGAAGCATATACACAGCAAATCCTCTTTTCCTATTGTTGACTCTGGTTATCTCCTGCAGGTCTCTGAAGATGTCAGTATATGTGAAGATGTCCATTACCGCTGCAATCGCCTCTCGCGCCGAGGAACTGCTGGCTCAGAGCGTCCCTGCAGCGATAGGAGCCGCTGGCACCCGCGTAGTGAGGCTGGAAGTGCGCCTGGACGCCCGTGGAGCCGCGGTAGGTACCCTGGTAGAAGGCCGGATAGTCAGTTCCAGCAGCAGCGGCTCCAGGTCCCACGGCTCCGGGAAATAGGTGCCGGAGGAGCAGTAGTGTGACTAGCGGGTCCTCGGCAGCCGCCGCGGCCTCGACACCCACATCCCCGGGTCACGCGGCCGCGCTGACGATGGCGCGCCTGTCAACCGGGTTCAGGAAGCCTCCCAGGAGCTCACCGCGCAGGAAGGCCGCGCAGGCGGAGGGGTCGCCGGCCACCAGCTCCTGGGACTCCTGGCGCAGCGCCTCGCTGCACAGAGGGCAGGGTTGGGCGGCCCGCAAGGCGACAGGCAGGCGGCGGGCAGCTGGTTCAGGGCCTTCGGCCGCAAAGCCAAGACAGCGCTCGGATGAGGCAGCGCTCAACTTCAGACGTTCTTCAATTTCATTCCTGATTGTTCACTATGGTTATTGATGATTTAACTTTATTTCTTTATTTAACTTAATACATCTTCTCTGTTAAGTAGTTAATGATATATAAAAATTTATACCTTAAAATAACAAACAGAAAACTCAACCTTCAACTCTATCCCCATGTTATATGTTTAACACCACAATTTCTTTGGGGGAGGTTGGTTTTCCTGACTCAGGAAAAAGGTATAGAATAGACTTACGAGGCTTTCCTATCTATTTTATTGAAAGCCTTCTGCCACAGCACAAATATCCCAAAATAGCAAAGACCTCCTTCTTAGACAAGGGAGACATACAAAAGCAGGGAGAGCTCATGACTCCATTATCTGTTGGGAAGTACCTGCTCTTCCTTGGTGTTGATCACCAGCAAGTGAGCCTGCATTCCAGAGCAGTTCTTCTGACTTTCGTTCCAATATCTTGATTCAGGAGAAATAAAGTAGCATTTGGAACTAAGTGACTTCCACCCCTTTGGACAACAGCTCCAGACTTTTTCTGTATTGGAAACAGAAGCATGTAAATACAACGTAAGTAGTTACATATAAAAGTGTGGGTATCATTAAAATTTAGGACCAAAGGAGATCACATGGAAGCTGGAACGCCCATTCCCACCCAGGTGCAACAAGGATCACACTATATCCCTCACGTGTAAATGAAGCTAAGTTTACTTCAATCAGGCAATAATGAGACAGGGACCCCTCTCTCCCACTGGAGTGGGTATCAGGAAAAGCCAGATAAAACAATATTTAAGTAAGATCCAGACTCTGGGAACATAATGCAAAAATGTCCAGGTTCAATAGAAAATAACTCATCATACCAAGAACCAGGAAGTTCTCAAATGTAATAAAAAATGATAATCGATAGATGCCAAAACCCAATATCACACAAATGTTACAATTATCTGACAAAAGTTTTAAAGCAGCCATGATAAAATGTTTCAACAGGAAGGTGCAAACATGCTTAAAATAAATGCAAAAATAGGAAGCTTCAGTAAATAAATAGAAAATATAGGCTTGGCACCTGTGGCTCAAGCGGCTAAGGCACCAGCCACATACACCCAAGGGGGCGGGTCGAATCCAGCCTGGCCCGCCAAACAACAATAATGGCTGCAACCAAAAAATAGCTGGGAGTTGTGGCGGGCACCTGTGGTCCCAGCTACTTGGGAGGCTGAGGCAGGAGACTTGCTTGAGCCCAGGAGTTGGAGGTTGCTGTGAAGCCACGGCACTCTACCCAGGGGGACAGCTTGAGGCGCTGTCTCAAAAAAAAAAAAAAAAAAAAAAAAAAAAAAGAAAGAAAAAGAAAAAGAAAAAAAAAGAAAATATAAAGAAAAACAAATGAAAATGTTATAATTGAAAAATATAGTAACCAAAATAGAAATCTCAGTGGATGGGCTCAACATCACAGTGACAGAGAAATCAGTGCATTGAAAGACAAAAACAATAGAAATTGCCAACTGAACAACAGAAACAAAATAGAAAAAAGATAAATGTATTTATGCCAGAAAAGAGAGGTGGAAATGTATAAAGCAAAAACTGGTACAACAGAAATGATAAATTTGACAAAGACACAATTATAGGTAGGCACATCATCACCCTGCTCTCAAAAGTTGATAGAACAACTACATAGAAAATCAGCAAAAATGTGGAAAAACTGAAAAACATCATCAACCACCAGGATCTAATCAACATTTATAGTACACTCTACAGACAACCAAATACCCATTCCTTTCAAGCACTTATGGGACATATTTAAACTTAGAACATATCCTGGGGCATTAAATAAATGCCCACAGATTTTAAATCATTGAAATAATAGAAAAGTATTCTTCACCACAGTGGAAGAAAATTAGAAATTAAGAAAAAAACCCTCACTTTTAGGGTGGCGCCTGTGGCTCAATGGGTAGGGCGCCAGCCCCATGTACTGAGGGTGGTGGGTTCAAACCCAGCCCCAGCCAAACTGCAACAGAAAACTAGCCCAGCATTGTGGCAGGCACCTGTAGTCCCAGCTACTCAGGAGGCTGAGGCAAGAGAATTGCCTAAGCCCAGGAGTTGGAGGTTGCTGTGAGCTATTTGATGCCACGGCACTCTACCAAAGGCAACAAAGTAAGACTCTGTCTCTACAAAAAAAAGAAAAAAAAAAACACCCTTACTTTTAAATAATCCATGGGTCAAAGTAAAAGCCTCAGAGGAAAGTTTTAAAAAATGCATTAACTGGGGTGGCATCTGTGGCTCAGTGAGTAGGGCACCAGCCCCATATACCGAGGGTGGCGAGTTCAAACCCTGCCCCGTTCAACTTGCACCAAAAAAAATAGCTGGGCATTATGGCAGGCGCCTGTAGTCCCAGGTATTTGGGAGGCTGAGGCAAGAGAATCACCTAAGCCCAAGAGCTGGAAGTTGCTGTGAGCTGTGACGCCATAGCACTCTACTGAGGGCGATAAACTAAGACTGTCTCTAAAAAAAAAAAAGCATTAACTGAATGAAAATGAAAACAGAAATGTTCAAAATTGCTATTCTTCAATAAAAGGAATCAGCCTTTTATTCAGATGTCTCCTAAAGAATCAGGAGATGTCTAACTCTAAGATAAGTATCCCCAGCATTTTGTACTCCCAGAAAGTACAGAAGTGTAAACAAAAACCAACTTTGATGGTGATATGCCAAAGGATCACCAGAAAGACTGGCATAGTGTCTCCACACTGTAATACCAGCACTTTGGGAGCCCAAGGCAAGAGAATCATTTGAGCTCAAGAGTTTGAGGTTATTATGAGCTATGACGCCATGGCATACCATTGGGATAACAAAGTGAGACTCAATCTCAAAAAATTAAAATTTCAAGTACATGATATAGATACATGTGATGAGTAATTTTATTTTTTAATAATTGATTGATCAATTAAAAAATTTTTTAGTCTTTTTTGGGGGTTACAATGTGCTGATTTTATACCATTTGGAATGTTTACATAGAACTGGTTAACATGGTGTTCACCCCACTTATTTAATTGTTGTCTGTAGACATTTATACTCTACTATTAATATATTTGACATGTACCCTTGCAATATGCACAATAGGTGAGGTGAGGTCCCACCGATTACCCTCCCGCCACCCGTCTACCCTTCTCCCCTCCCCTTACCTTCCTTTTTTCTCCTTCTTTCTGGGCTATAATTGTGTTACATCTTTCACATGAAAGTGTAGGTGATTATATATTGATTTCATAATAGTATTAAGTACATTGGGTATTTTTTTTCCATTCTTGAGATACTTTACTAAGAAGAATATGATCCAGCCACGTCCATGTAAACATAAAAGAGGTAAAGTCTCCATCTTTTTTAAGGCTGCATAGTATTCCATGGTAGACATATACCAAAATTTGTTAATCCATTCATGTATGGATGAGCACTTCAGAATATTATGGGGGTACAACTGTTTTGGTTACATGAATTGCTTTGTACTGTTTGAGTCAAAGTTGCAAGTGTGCCTATCACCTGGACTGTGTACATTGTATTTTTTTTTTTTTTTTTTTTTTGAGACAGGAACCTCAAGCTGTCCCCCTGGGTAGAGTGCTATAGCATCACAGCTCACAGAAATCTCCAACTCCTGGGCTCAAGTGAGTCTTCTGCCTTTGCCTCCCAAGTAGCTGGGACCACAGGCGCCCGCCACAATGCCCGGCTATTTTTTGGTTGCAGCCGTCATTGTTGTTTGGCAGGCCTGGGCTGGATTCCAACCGGCCACCTTGGGTGTACGTGGCTGGCGCCTTAGCCACTTGAGCCACAGGCGCTGAGCCTACATTGTACCTTTTAAGTGTGAATTTATGTCTCCCTTCTGGTCCCCACTAACCATTGCTTTCCATTGAGTTTTAATATCCAATGTGCACACAGGTGTCATTGGTGTTGATTGAGTAGTTCCAATTTAACAGTGAGTATATGTGGTGTTTGTTTTTCCATTCTCCTGATACTTCACTTAGAAGAATACTTTCCAGTTCTATTCACACTGTTACAAAAGGGGCAATTTTTTGTTGCAATTGTCATTGTTGTTTAAAAAAATGTTAAAAAAGGTATTAGTTCACCATTTTTATGGCTGAGTAGTACTCCATGGTGTGTGGAGTATATACACACACACACCACATTTTATTAACCCATTTGTGTATTGGTGGGCACTTGGGTTGATTCCATATCTTTAGAGTTTTGAATTGTGCTGTAATAAACATTCATGTGCATATATCTGTTTGATAAAATGACTTTTGTTTTAAGTAAATACCCAGTAGTGGGATTCCTGGATCAAATAATAGGTCTAGGTCTAGTTCTAGTTCTTTGAGGTATATTCATACAACTTTCCAGAGAGGATTTACTAGTTTGGAGTCCCATCAATAGTATATAATAGCTGGGTGTTGTAGTGAGTACTGTAGTCCCAAGTACTTGGGAGGCTAAGACAAGAGAATTGCTTAAGCCTGAGAGTTTGAGGTTGCTGTGAACTGTGATGCCATGGCACTCTACCAAGGGTGACATAGTGAGACTCTGTCTCAAAAGAAAACAAAGTATATAGGAGTTCTGGGTGATCCCTGGAGCTCAGTGGATAGGGCACCGGCCTCATACACTGAGGCTGGAAGGTTCAAACCTGGCCTGGGCCAGCTAAAACAACAATGACAACTACAACAAAAAAAAATAGCCACGTGTTGTGGTAGGCACCTGTAGTCCCAGCTACTTGAGAGGCTGAGGCAAGAGGATCACTTCAGCCCAAGAGTTTGAGGTTGCTGTGAGCTGTGGCACCGTGGCACTCTACCCAGGGTGACAGCTTGAGACGCTGTATTGGAAAAAAAAAAAGAGTTCCTTTCTCTCTGGATAGATGCCATCCGTGTTGTTTGGGGATTTTTGGATAAAATCTATTATCACTGGACTTAGGTGATATCTCATTGTGGTTTTGATTTATATTTCCTTGATGATTAGAGATGTTGAGCATTTTTCATGTGTTTATCAGCCATTAATCTATCTTCTTTTGGACAGTGCCTGTGGCTCAGTGAGAGGGACCTGGCCCCATATATGGGAGGTGGTGGGTTCAAACCTGGCCCCGGCCAGAAACTGCAAAAAAAAAAAAAACCCTATCTTCTTTTAAAAAGCTTCTGTTCATGTCTCTGGTCTACCTTTTTTTGAGATTGTTTTTTTCTTGTTGAAATGCTTGAATTCTTAATAGATACTGATTATCAGCTCTTTATCAGATATATACCATCCAAATAGTTTTTCCCTTTCTGTAGGTTGTCTATTTGCTCTATTGGTTGTTTTCTTGTCTGTACAGAAGCTTTAATTCAATCAGGTCCCATTTGTTAATTTTGGTTTTTGCTGTGATTACCTTTAGGTTCCTCTTTGTAAATTCTCTGCCTAGCTCACATCCTTAAGAGTTTTTCCAACATTTACTTAATTCTAGAATTCTTATATGCCTTAGGTTCTAATCTATTATTCATCAAGAATTAATTTTTGTGTGGGTGAGAGGTACAGATCTTATTTCAA